ACCGGTCCTTCCACTCCTAACTCGCGAGCTAAGTCGTCGTAAATCAACGATATGGTAGAGCCTTCGTCAAGTAGCGCATACGTACACATACACGAGGCACTACAGGTGTCCTCATGGGCGGTGAACGTCTTTACGTCGCGGGCCCTATCCTCTACGCGGCGTGTAAACACTATCCTTTTCGACGGCGGTGCTTCTCGTCTTACGGGCAATTACTTAGTCGGCGTTACGGACGTATAGGCGTGACTTAACGCATGGTCAGCCTCTCTCATCATAAACCAGGATAGTGTGACAATGACCGGTTCGTCCGCACTTCCGTAGCGCTCCGCATAATCACACCAACGCGACCGTAAGTGAGGGCTAAGCTTACTCGTAACCTTTTTTTTTTTTATAGGAGAGGGGGCAAACGAGCATGCGGCTCACCTGATGGTAAGTGACTACCGCCGCCCATGAACAACCGCAACACCAGGGGAATTGCAGATGCGTTGCCGGCCTTTTACAGTTACCTCCCTAGTTAGCATCGGATTTTGTAAATATCCTTTGCCGTCGACGTTTTGCATAATACACACTATATTTTGCAACTTAATAGCGAACGAATTTAACTCCTGGGCGGTTTGACCCGGGCGCGGAAGGCGTTTCAAGTCATCTAACGCACGATCAATAATCACTTCCGGGCGGCCGAAACACTGCTCCAGTGTCCGCATAATGTCTGCTGGATCCTTCGCGGTAAACAGCAGCGCCGATACTACCTCCCTAGCCTCACCACGTAAACAGTTCCTTAACCTTGCCATATTTTCCGTATTGGTGAATCCATATAGACTCATCGCGGCTTTAAACGATAACCATTCCGCGGCCGAGCCGTTGAAAATAGGCAACTCCTGTGTCTGTTTCGCGGCGGCTGGTCTAAGTCTTATCATGCCTTCTAAGGCTTCCGCTAATCGTTCTATACCCCTATCTTTCCCTCGCGGGGTGCGAGACCTATCTCTATCCCTATTTCTCTCTAGCCTACGCTGTGGCGCTGGCGACCTATGTACACCTACATCCCTGTAACACGGTGACGGTAATCTACGATCCGCGTGGCGATGTGGCGATCTGTCTATACCTACATCATTACACGGCGACGGTAATCTACTATCCGCGTGGTGATGTGGCGATCTATGTATAGGCGATAGAGTGCGGCGTTGGACGCGCGACGGCGACGTAACCCGTACACGGCGATCCACCTGGTTCATTTCTACGGCGACTCCATTGTCCCTCTGTATCGTATTTACGCGGCGCGGTTCAACATCAACAACAACCGACCTCCCTTGCGCATCTTCAGCGTGGTCGTAACCGGTTCCCCTACTCGGTGGGGCCTGCTCTATCTCGATGCGGGGCGCGGGCTGAGACGGGCGGTAGGGCGGCTCCCCCGCACAGTCTCCACGTTCTCTAACCACCTATCAACGCGTACTCTATTTTCCACTAAATCGTCTTCGTTTAAACTATCCCTATCCGTTTCTTCTTGCAGTTGAGCGACGTCCCTAGCGTATTTCTTCTTGATGAGATCTTCTTCGATTTGCAATTGCTTCCTTCTAATTGCAGCTAGTTCCTCTGCGGTATTATACTCGAGTTGTTTTAACTTTGCTATCGCGCTAGCTGTCAACCGTGCTGAACCGACTGAACGGACTGAACGGACCGACGGGGAGCGGGGTGCGGGCGCGTGCGCGGGCATAGATGCGGGCGCGAGCGGGACCTGGGGCGCGGCGGAGGGCGCTTGTGCCAACGCAAGATAATCGGACGGGGACGCGGGTGCTTCCTCGAATATCCGCATTCCTACCGGCGTTTCGTCGTCGTTCCGTGTCTTCTGGCTTCTTGTCTTCCTCATGACGTCCCTCGTTGCGACCTCCTATCGTCTTCAAAAAGACGCACGTATTGGACGCCATTCCCGCCGCAAGGGCGTTACCAGATGGTCACAGTTTGGCACCGTTAGGGAGCAACCATCTGGCCGCGTAAACGCGGTTAAGAAACAAGAAATTGTCTGGAAACAGACAATAGACGTATATGACGTAGACGTAATATCAAACGGGGAAGAAATGAACAGCTCACAGACCAAAACGCCCTTCTTATATCTCGCAAGAGAGCGTCTCAGTATGTGAGTAGCGTCATGAGGCGATGGCGCGCGCCGATTGGTCGGAGACATCGCGTGATCTGCTTCCGGTGTGCGGGGTGCACGCGGCGCAACGGGGTATGAAGGGGCGAGGGGGCGCCGGCTCCCTTCGCCGTCCGTAACAGATATATTACGAAAAGTAGAAAGAAGAGATAACCGCCATTAAAATTTCACCGCTGGCATAACATGGGCCAAATTTATATCCCCCGATTATATCCACCGACAAGAGATAAAATTACCTTGTCCCTATGTCAAAGCACGGCAACGGGGAGAAGTACATCACCGTTTGACATAATGAGTAGACATATATCCTCCGTCCGTAGCATAGAGCCAAATTAAAGTTAAAAAATTATGCTTTTTTGACATTTGAAAGTGACAATTCTATTCTAGTTCTTTGTACGTGAGTTTAAGTTTATATTCATACAAAAAAAATCTATCTAACTTTATTCATATTCTATTCAGTCCATTTTATCTACTATGGATATGGATATTATATCCACCGGTGTGCCCATGTTCGAAAGATGGATGGAGATATATAAAATTGTCTCCTACCCATGCTAGCCCTGGAGTAGTCCATATAATTTTTACTATGAAAGTTGCACCAGCCTGGCTGTATGGTTTAAGACCTTTGTCTGCCTTAATTGGGGAATCATATCCACCATAGACTCACTCAGATACCTATATTGAATAGGTATGCGTTATGCGTAGTGTCCATTAAGTAGTCCTATCTATTTATTTATCTATGAAGTAGTCTGTGTATTGTATTTCTAAGTTCTCTATTTCTAATTTATTGTATCTCTATTTCTAAGGCTTGGCCCCTAAAGGTCCAGGCCATAAACTCCAAAAAAAAAATCCAAGGCTCAGAAGGGCTAGAACCCAGAGCTGTAAAGCCAGTTAAAAAACTTCTAGCGCTATGGCTAATGTATCAATAACAACAAACACAAAACAATAAAAATTAACAAAAAGAAACAAAAATTGTGTTTAGAAAAATACCTGTGAAGTTTCAGGAATTCATCAGGAAATTAGTTATAATGCCCGTGATAGAAATGAATGTGGTCGAAAGTGATGAGGATTACATCATTTCAAGGGCCAAAGAGGCACAAAAGTCTAATATACATTCTGCAAAAGCGTGGATGCTTACGGCAAAAACATTATTTCCAACGAATTTTAAAATCCAGTTTGAAGCATATTTAATGGAAAAACAATCGGGAAATGTCCAAGAAGCAGCTGAATGTTTCAGTTCATTAATGATGTCAAGACAAAATCTTCCCGATTTATTACCAGAGATATCATCAATAGCTAATTCTCTTAAGTCCAATGAACCTAGCTTCTTGAGTCAGATGTTTGACTTTATAAGCCCAGATATGCAATTGACGATTCTTAAAACAAGCGTCGAAAACAGTGATGATACTATGGAACATTGCCGATTGTTAGTTCTTTTACTTAAGAAATTCCCACAGTTAGGTGTGGATAGTCTTGTAAAAACCTTAATTAATGCAGAAAAATTCTTTTACGATAACAGATATGCACGTTTGTTAGTTGTGGAAACATTGCCGCTTCTTAGTTCATTGGAATCTCCAAGGTTATTACAACGTCTGTTAGTTAAAGCAATAGATTTCTACAATTCTTATATGTATGATGAAACTGAAAATGATATCTCAGACCCTTGGCAAAGGCTCTATGGTGTCTTGGATTTATTGGGAAGGCAGCTTGGCTGGGATACATATTTAGTTAATTATAGTAATAGTTTAAATAAAGAATCATACTTTCAGAAACTAATGAGTCTAAGAACATGTGAAGATTGTCGGCAATTGTTGTATTGTGGTGTAACATTTTTTTTGAGGTCTCTGTATGAACAAAAGTCACTAAAAGGCAATCATATTCTTGTTGAAGCATTATCTGATCCAGATCAACCACAATCAAAAAGGAGAAAGGGGGACATTGAAGTAACAGGAATATCAGCAGCTCAATTCCAAGCGGCTGCAAATTGCTGGGAACTTTTACATAGCAATGAAGTAATAGCAAGAGAGTTTATGAAGTTACTTACTCAGCTACAAGTAAAACCATGGACAGAGGGCTTTATTGAAGAAATAGCTCTTTTTAGGGGAAGATATGAAGACACTACTCCTACAGCTGCCATCAATTTAACTGCTAATATTATAAGAGCATCTATTAATTTTGCCCAGAAAAAGTATCAATCATGTATTGAAGCAATATTAGCTGCTATACCACAGTTGCCCACTGCAGAAGGTGTTCTAGAATCAGACCTTATTGTTGGGGGTAAACACAGACATCTACACTTTTTACCTTTAACAAAAGTTGCTATAATGCATTATTTCTGTACTTTGCTTATTAGAATTTTATTAAGTACTGGAAATAATGCTGACTTAACTTATGGTCATATGTTAGTACTCATGCAGCTTGGTTGGCCTCAAGAAGAAGCTATATTTATCCATATTTTAGATATAATCAAACAAAAAGGAGTTTTTCATTACCATCTGTTTTCAGTCTATATAATTCACATTGATTTTTTGGAAGAGCTCAGTTTTATTTGGAATGAACAAGGTAAAAATATTGCTTTAGATATACTTCCAAATTCTCAACAACATTTGGGGCAAAGGAGGATTGGCACTCGTGGTGCTGATAAAGGTGTAAAAGAAGACTTTAAACAGGCTATGAAAGCTCAAGTTGCACGATGTAATGAATCCATACTAAATTTAATAATACAATTTATTACTTCTGAAAGATCCTATCTTTTGCAGATCCTATAAATTCTTATTTTATTTTACTGAATAAATAAAACGGTGAGAATATAATGTGTACTTTATTGTTATAGCAAATTAAATTACGATTAAGTCTAAGAACTCCCTTCATATGTTCCCACTCCAAGTAAGAGGTTGCGTCGTGTAAAATGTAAACTTTTTATAGGCGAATTTTTTGTAGCAAATGAACGTAATAGAAATTTTTCTTCTTTTGGAACTGAAGTATTACTTCCTGTTTCTTCAGAAGGTGTTTCATCTGTTATTAATGCAAAATCCCACAGTTTTATATTGCAGTCCAATGAACCTAGAACAATAATAAGGAAATTAGAGTTAAAAAAAAGAAACTTAAACACAGATTAATTATGACCTGTAATAACCCTAGTGTGAATACTAGGATGTTTTTTTATAGGATAAGGTTGATAAACGAGCACACAGGCCACCTGATGATAAATGGTTGCTGTGCCCCATAGACATCTACATCTATCCTCGATTACAAATCAAAATGCAGATGCGTTGCCACCCGTGTGGAGTAAGATGGAATGCCTCGTTTCCAGTAAAAATGGTCTCCGGTTCTCTATACTCACCATAAGAAACACAGCAGCGTTCAAAGAGTATAGTAATATATAAGGAAGAAGAGAGCCCTCTTGCGAGTAAAACTGGTGCTCCTTGGAAACAGCGCCACCTGGTGATTGTTACGCCAACTATAATATTTATATGTGTGTGTGTTACTGTACGTTAAACATCGATAGTTTGGTAATCCGATAGTATCGATAGTTTTACTAAAAACTATCGATAGTATCGATAGTCTATCGATAGTTTAAAAAATTGTAGGATTAGCGTAACATCAATAAAATAACAAATGTTATACGAAACATAGAGTTTTATTTTGATATATATTCGAAATAACAATCAAAAATCAGCATTCATCATTATTATAGTTACAAATCAATCATTAAAATAGCAGGTATTTTGTTTTATAAACAACAATTCGTTTAATCTTGTTTCTTTTAACCTATTTCTGCGCTCGGTTAAATTTTCTCTGGCCTTCGAAAAGATCCGTTTCGAAGGCACAGAAGATGCTGGAATACAAAGATAGAGCGTCGCTAATTCCTTCAATTTATTGTTGGTGTATTTCCAGTATGTTATATGACACTCTTTTCTGTCAATTACTGGCTTCTCGAGATATTGCCTGACATCTAACAATGAGTTACTCAAAGGGGTCGATACGTGTGGAACGTCTAGGAATCCCTACAGGTCATTAAATGTTCCTGAAGACATGGATGGTGTTGGTTGCGTTTCTTCTACAGCCAAGCGTTCTTTAGTTAAATGGTTAACATAGGCCTTTTCCAGCCACTGACCAGCTCGCTTCTCATCGTCACTTGTTTTGAACCCCTTCTTCTTAAATCGGAAGTCCAATATTAGTAATAATAAATATAAATAAACAGGACACTTGTTGTAGCAAGTACAACAAGTGTCCTGTTTGCATAGGGACTTAGTCTTTTGTCAACTGAGCCCTTCACACAGAGTAATATTTTCTTTCCGCTTTCAGTAACTGAGATTCATCTTCTACAAATTTTTTTTGTAGTTTGTTGTTTGTTTCACGTTTTCATAATATTCCAGCAGTAATTTCTTCTTCAATGTTGTTGTATCAGGAATTTCATATCTGCTATCGCATTACAAAATCCCGAAATCCTTCATGTTCTCCTTTTCGCAAAGGTTCCATGTCAACAGCAATCATGCGCAGGTATTTGTTATCCAACTTTTGCTTTGTTTTCCCATCTGTCAAAATAACTTTTTAGCGTATTTCTCTTTTTAGGGCTTGGCCCCATTTTGCTCAGTCGTATCTACGTCTTGAGTAACAGAAACAGTGGATGACCATATCCATACCTTATTATGTTTTCTCTTCATGTGATCGATCAAGTTCGTAGTATTTCCACTTAGTTTAAACTCTCTTTTACTCAAAGAACACTTGGCAAACTTTTTATTAGTCTTTTTGAAGTAATCCCACGCACGTGACTTACTACTCATGTTTTATTGTTTAATTCTAAATTGTTTGTTACTCCACTCAACTTCAAACATCCACAATAAAAAAACTGACTGACTGACTTTTGTCTTGTAAATGGATGATATACGCACGGTAATTCCTTACTATCATAGGGAACAATCTCAATGTCTACACCGTTGTCACTATAGCCGGGGAAAAACCTACATACATGCATACCTCGATCGATAGTTTTAAAAACTATTGATAGTATCGATAGCCATTTACTATCGATATCATCGATAGTCTATCGATGTTTAACGTACACTAGTGTGTGTATATACCAATTCACTCACACGAGAGCACTCTGTGAATGTGTGCGTGTGTATATGTACAATGCTCTCTGCCTACCCTCACATTCAATATTCTTTTTATTACTATTTCCATTTCAACTTTTTACGAATGTAGAAATTACATTCTACATTCGTAAAAAGTTGAAATGGAAATAGTAATAAATGAATATTGGAATTTATAAAAATTTAATCACGCAAAGCTTAAGAGTAAGATTAAAGTTAACAATTACCTATGCATTCATACATAAGTAGAAAATTGGAATGGCACACGGTTAATTTGACCAAACAGAAATAAAACAATTATTTTCATAGAGATTTAAATATATTATTAAGTTATTAGATACACAGAAATAAACTTGGGCACTCAATTTTAGATGATTATGGAAGCATCTTAGAACACACTGTTTTCAGCAACCCATTATTATTCGTAAAACATTTTCATTAAATAAAACGACTCTAATTAATCACCATAAACTAAATATTCACTGGCTAGTAACACCACACTTAAGTAATTGTTCTACGAAATACGAAATTAACTAAATCGCAAAGATGTTTTATAGGTCATAAAATATCTTTGCTAAATCGACATCAAACTTTTGAATTTGGCTTAGAAAAGTTAAACAAAACGAACTAGATACACTTTGAAAATGGTTTGTAACATTCCCGTTTAAAATAATATCTAATTGATGAAAAATTAACTATGAAACTTTTTCTTTTTTAATTTCATAAAAATATGTAATAATTTAGGTTATTTTTTTCGCAACAGCAGATACAGATACATTTATATTTTGGGCTACAGAGTAGAGATGGGTAACTCAGGAGAGATAGATACAAAAGATATGAATCCATCCGTTTCCATCAATCACTCTTTATATCCATCCGCATCCGAATGTATCAATGTATCAGTATATCTTTACAACTTATTCACTCAAGACATCTTTTAACTTTTTCTAACATCTGTGTCGCACATTGCGCACGTTGCTTTTTATTATACCTCGGCCGGCACGGCCGGTCGTTCCAGGAAGATTTCGGAAAGTCCATAGTACAGACGTTTCTTTCGCAGGTCACTATTTAAAATGTTCTGTCGCGCTTTGGCAAAACGGAGAGAGTAAGTTGTTTGACCATTATAAACTGTAATACGCTAGCACAAAAAGGTAAATTGATAACTCTATGACTGGTGCATAGGGCTTAAAGTCATTAAGCGGTACGTTAACATTTAAGTATTATATGGTTTGAACTGTACCTATGTGTACTTTGCCTATAAATTTTTTAGTAAACAATGCAAACTAATTTCAATTACAAAACCATAGTTTTTAAGAAAGTTTTATAATCGAAATTAATAGTCGTTTATATCCATAAAAAAAGTAGAAAAAAGATTTGTGATTTACAAAATTAAACAAATATATCAGTTTGCTTCATTAGTTCAACCTTAATCTCGGTTTGGGAACGAGAGTAATAATGTTTGCGTTAATTGCATCGAATAGAAAATTATTTGAAGTTGTTTTGTACACTTAGTGACTGTTTAATTTAAATGTAGGTAAATAAGACATTCAGTGTAAATAGTTTAAAGTGTATTTTGTTCTGTACGTACAGTTAGTGAATGTTACATTTATTTTAAGTGTAAATAATTTTGTGCAGTTAGTGTATTGTTAATAAAAAAAATGGGTTCACGAAAACGAAGCGCAGTGTGGAATCATTTTGAGGAAGTAGAACCAAAAACAAGCAAAATGCCTTTATTGTGCGAAAATGCTAAATGTACCCGCTGGAAATTGTGGTAACCTTCCCCACAGTACCCCTCGTAACTAAAAGACAGCCAACGCAGCAGGCATGTTTTCAAGAAGCCGAAACTATATAATATATATTTTCTACAAATTAATACAAACAATACCTAACCCTACCTACGTTATTTACGTTAATCATTAATTTAATTATTATTTTAAACTAAAAATTTAAGTTAATTTCTCGAATAAGTGCCTATTAATATTTAACAGCGCTCGCTGTAAGTTTCACAGTACTCGAGCAACCCGGGTTCGATCCCCGCCGGCACTAATGAAATTGTTAATTGCAATTTTAAGTGCTGATTTACCACGTGCTCGGCGATGAAGGAAAACATCGTGAGGAAACCTGCATGTCTGAGAAATAGGAAAACTTTAATTTTTTAATCATAACAAATAGATACCTAGAAAGAAACAATAGCCAAATATATCAGAAAGATACACAATGTTACGACCTTACTGATAGGATTGAGTTGAGCGAAGCGAGCCACGCTGAGTGAACAACGCAACGTAATGCGATGCGTGTCGTGAAAGCGAGCTTGATCTACTGATACATAAGGATATAAAGATATAAAAGAGTGATACATATCCAAGTGATCAAAAGATACATATCAATCTTTTCTTTTAAGTGATACACATTGCCCATGTCTACTACAGAGCTTGTAGTACAGACTAATCATTTCAATCGACCATAAATATAATCGGAACGTATAATTTATATGTACTTTATAAATCATGGATTAAACAACTTTTATTTGTCATGCATACATATTACAAAATATATAGTTTATAATTTATAAGATAAGTAAAACTAATTTTAATGGACAGGTGACAAAGATATTAAAGCCATCTAGTGAGTATTAAACTAACTAAACTGAGGAAATTATGACCCGTATCATACACTTGATGGCGTTACTTTCTATGACCAAATGCATTACTATGGAACTGTACCCCCCCTGGCAGCGTTAAGCTGCTATTTTACACTGGTATTCTGTTAGTGTGGTCCTTCCCTGGTTGAGCCGACCCATTCATGCTACAGTTATATTACTAATATATGGCTCTACCACATGTGAAAATATTTTGTATGTTGTATATCTATAATTATGAAATTATTGTATTATCATCAGTTCCTAATAAGCCTGCAAAATTTCAGGATATTCAAACATCTGCAAGTAAATGCAAACTGAATTAAAAA